CAGCAAAAGGCACTAACTGTTTCAGTGGGTGCTCCAAAGGGTGTCTGGTGTCTACATAATGTGGAAGTGCTCTCATAACCAAGCCCCTGGTGCCTAGACTTCCCTTTGAACACATCCTATATCCAGCCTTCTGCCAATGTATAAAATCAAAAATAAATGTTTTGACCCTGAAAAACAATCCTGGTGATGAGCTTTTGCAGCAATTACCTGTACTGCTTCCATGTCAAGGTGCTTACAAATATAGTCTTGCTTGGTGATATCCTAGCTCCCACAGTATGTCCATTGATATAACAAAACTCTTGTCAAAGATATTAGCAAGAAGCCAATTTCAAACCTTCCAAACATCTTGTATTCAATCACTTGATATGGAGGTGACCAGAATCAGGAACAAACAGAATCAAATTGAAGTAGCTGCAACATAAAAGGGCACTCCTCTGTTCAAGGCAGAGTTTTTTGGAGGGAAAGTGACATTTTGGAGGACAGCATTTCTTTTATTCCACCACAGAATTTATTTAATGAGTTAATACCAAGTGGGAAACGGGTCATATAAGAATCTTGATTAAATAAACCTTTTCCATCTGAAGTCATCAGAAGGTCAATATATTGCACACCCCCTGATTTCACTTTCACTTAAAGTTAGAAGACTCTGACAAGGAGCAACCAAATTTAACACCTTTCACTAGTAACCATATGCTGAACATTGGCCTTTCAGAAATGACTGAAAGCAACTGAGCAATTGAGGCTGTCCAGCTACAATATGACAGAAGTTTTGGCATGATGTACATCATGAAGAAAGTTACAGTGCCCCAGTGGTCTTTATATATCAAAGGAGAATCTTGGCATGGCACTGAGGGTGTAGTTTTCATGTTGTACAGGGGGACATGGACAAGTGTCACAGGAAAAAGCATGATGTTATGATGTAGAGTGGTGATTTACCTATCAATACTGAAAAATACTGACATTCTTTGTCACTTCCAAATATTGGGGAAGAATTCTGTAGAACCAAGTGTATCTTGCCAGGAGAGCATCCTCATTTCTAGCTGCTTTCACACTTTTTTCTTGGTTTTGGTATATTTTGTCAAGAACAAGCTCTGAGAAGCAAAGCCTATCAACTGCTTGCTAAATCACCTCTATCAGTCAGTCTATTTTAATTCATACACAGGGAGCACTGCACACCCAGACTTACACTTTGAAGAATCTGTTCTCATATTCTGGATGACAGAAAGATACTCTAGAGGTTGCAAAAATGAAAGAGTCCAGGGAGCTAATTTCTCCTGTGACCAAGGTACAGGATCCAATCATAAGTTTCAGATTCCTTTTTCATTAGCATTCTAAATTGTGTAGCATTGCATATTACAGATTATTTTCCATTCTGCTAAGAAAAGTCTGTTGTTTTTTTTTTGGTATGATCCTGCACAAATATGTCTAGATTTCAATTACCCTGCTTAAGCAATTTCAGCTATTTTTGTTAATTATCTTGATTTCTCACTAGTACATCTCTTGAGGTACCATGATTCCCAGGTTTTCTTCTCTCACTGTCATTGGAAGTTGACATTCAAAGTGATTTCTTGTACTCTCTGCCTTTAACAGCCTTCCTTAAAGGTTGCTTGTATCTTCACAGATAATGTGATAAGGTAACCATAAGCACAAAGGCCAAATATACTCTGCCACAGAAAGAGCTTACATGGTTCTGTCTACTTCTGAAGCATTATTCTCTTGAGTTTTGATATTCTGAAGAGTTCAATTCTTTACAATCATGTCCAGCATTGGGACTACTTCTTTTACCTGCTGCATAAGCACTTATTGAATTATAGAAGATTAATATGTTAATGTTAGTGATGGAAGGATACGGAATGGTCCAGAATCAGACTTGAACTTCACCTCTGGGTTAAGCCATGACACCAGCATCCAAACGTTGCTGAAATCAGTGTGTAGTGCTCCACTTTCTGTCATGAAGTGCATCTCCCTTCCCTATTGTCCTACTATGGAATTCCAATAGTAATTGATATTGGATCTTATCAGAAAAAGTCTAAGACTACATCAGTATAAATGCAAGAATAGCTCTATTTAAGAAGTTTAAAATGCAGAAATCTGCGAGATCTGTAAACCTCCATCTTGGACATTAAAAGACCTAAACATGGAACAGAAGAATCATTATTTTCTATAACTATTAGTGCTGCTAACATTCTTTCAATCATCCAGATGCTACCCTGTAATTGTTTATTGACTCCCATAATTTAGTCCTCCCAAGGCACACCTGCTCTATCATTATCTAAACTTCTTATATGTTTAGCTTGAAAATTGTATAAACCACTGCACAGGTAAGGGTTGGAAAGATAAGGAAGCTTATTTTTCAGCAAGATTTTTTCTAACGACTATTCCTCATCATAAGAAATACATGTTCTGGGCTCAAAAAAAGTAACACCACCTCATTATCATGCACTATTAGTAAATCTGAATAAAACAGATAAATCAAACTAGAAAATCTATATCTCTTTTCCCTCCAGCTTTGTAAATCATTCAAAAACTCCTCCTTCTCTCTCACCCACTTACCTGTGCTTGAATAATGATCTCATTTGTTATTTATTTGTTTCCCATAATTATGACTGGAGTATGGTTGGCCCCAAAGGCTTTACTTCTTTTCCATGACTTCTGTATTATTTTTTCCATAGAAGCCATTAAAGGACAAGTAATGAATAGTGAATGCAAACCTGAGGTAAATTCATGAAGCCTGGGAATCATGAGCATGCATTTCCATTATTACCCGTCAGTAATTTAAATACAACCAGTAAGAAAAGACTGTGCTCCCATAAGGTAATAACAAATAACACTTGAGATGTTAGTTCACAAACATGCTAGTGAATCCATTTGTTCATTTTTTCAGACAGTTCTATCAAGTCCTACTTGAGATATGATGGTTTTAGTTGAATATACTTTTATTTCTTCTTTCCTAAGGGATTCAGGTCATGCAAAGATTAAGGCTTCAGTTTACTGTACACTCAGAAAGATACCAACCAAATCTCAAGAGAAATAGGTAATGGCTATGTCTCTCTTTCTCTGAAAATCTGTAGTCACATGCTCAGCTTGCCAAGCATAGGGTTGTACCTTCTGCCTTCTGTCCACATGGCTACCTTGTAGATTACCAGGGCAAGCAACTTGCTGAAATACCAGATGCAGGCAGGGAAGCGCTGAAAGACCACAGTCTGAAGAAACAGAGCTGAAGAAATTACCAGGACATCTTATCTCAAGTGGAAGTGGTCAATGGTTCAGTAGGCAATTAGACTAAATGTCTAAAATAACAGACATCTGAGAACCCAGTTTCAGCTATCAAGAGATTAAAATCAGGAAACAACAACCTGGTCTCTTAGTTTCTTTCACCTTTGTCTGGATTCTGGGATCTAGTTTACTTCTTAGTATGATAAGAGCATTGCAAATTAATAAATTTCATATTAAGGTGGGAATCAGATACTATTGCAATGCTTTTCATCTCTCTAGCACCCTGTGGTATGTAATACATAGGATATATCTATGTTGAATGCTAAATCCTGTTTAAAGACACAGTTACATACTACATATAATAAATCATAGCCAGGATGTCATTTTATATAAAATATTATAAATAAATAAATAGATAGATAGCCAGCAAGTTGAGAAGTCCAGCAAGATTTAGAGACTCGGTCAGTATTTTGAATAAAGTGGATGTAGGTGGTCATCCTCTCCAACAGCAGACCCATTATTCAAACTGGCAAGCTCAGATCTGATTGTACTGCTGTGGCAGCTCAGTAGTCCCATCTTGTACATGTGTTTGACCCTTAATTCCTTGTATATATATGTATGAATGTATAAATACATATTGTGTGTGGAGGACAGGTTACCTCATGCTGAGGGATTTCAGATATCAGTGACCCTGCTGGAGGATTATTTCTGATACCTAATAAGGTCGGTTCAGAAGAAACACAGTTGGCACAGGCTATATGTGCCAATCACTATGAGAAAAATATTGAAGGTAAATCTATGTTTTCTTTCATTTTAAAATGTATATAATTTTCCTGCCAGTGGCAAATACATACACATACATACATACCGCAGACATACTCCATGCATAACTGGCTTCAATTTCTTGCAGTTTGCCATATGCTCTTTTCAACAGCGTGGGAGACCCTGCTGGTGCCCATGTTTCCAAACCAGCTGCAAACGTGAAAAAGAGAGCCAGCTTCAAACTTTACTTCTCTCCTCTTATTCAGGTGCAGCCCTTTCCTGACTCCTCAGAAATTATGCAGGAGTCCAAATGAGGGAATGAGGAGGGTAAAGGAAATCTGTTCTCATTTTGATGTCAAACTAATAATTAATGCCCAATTATTCTATTTTATTTGCATAGGAAACATTGCTACTTTAAGACTAAAAAGAAAAAAAAAAAAAAGAATTTGGCAGCTCTTGTTCAGCTGCTGCTGGCAGGAGGTTGCTTAGCAACTCCAGAGAGGGCTGTGAGAGAGGAGGTTGCGGGAGTCAGGCTGAGGAGCAGGCCTGGCAGTTCTGAGAAGAGGAGCAGGCCTGGCAGTTCTCTGAATGCCAAGCAAGCCGAGCTACCAGTCATCATAGGAATCCAGCAGCATTATTTTATGTATCTCACTGCCCATGGGGACCCACGCTGCTCTGTGTGGTCAGTCTGAGACCTCTCTGCAACAGGGTGTGTGTCTCCATTACAGATCCACGAAGACAACTTGTCCTTCTAACTAATGTAATTGGGTACCTCCAACAGGAAAGCGCCTGGAATGGAAAGAGCAAGGAGATTCAATTCCAGGCTTGAGGTTTTAAAAGACCTCAAGAGGGAAAAAGAGAGTTCAGTGAAGGCAGATGCTTCCTTGAGAGAGAGGGAGATGCTTCAAATGAGGGTGATGCTATATTTATGTTGATGTTAACAGGGTAAAGTAAACCTGTTTGGAAGTTTTATATCTGAGACACTGTAAAAAAGACAAAAAAAAAACTTTTACAGAGCCCAATTTACTCTCTCTCCTTCAAGCTATTTATTTTTTTTCAATATTTTATTTTATTTATTCAAGCCATTATTTTTTCTGTAGTATAGCCATCTGTTTTCAGCTGGAGAAGAACATCAGAGTTGAAAATTTGAGACGTACCTCAGTTAAATTCAGTGATGTTGCAATTAGGAGGTAAAGTGAAGCTGGGTAAAAAGCAAATAACACTTTTCTGAAGTTTAAGAACAGGAGTCAGAAAGTTTGTATAGGCCTGACAGCTGTGTCCACTGCTAGTAAGATGAATTTTTCACAAAAAAATACATTTTCAGAATACTTCTTACATTTTAACCTTGTATGTCATCGGATGACTTTGGCATTTTCTGTACTGATGATGTTCCTGTTCACTGCATATCCCATTAAACCTGTAAGAACCTTCCACAGACACTCTGCAAACAGGGGCATAGGTTTAGATTGAATGAGAAACTATTGGCTCTGTCTGGGACACTGGCATTTACTTTCCCTGAGAAAACTCTCTCTTTCGTCTTCCTGGGGCTACCTACTTTTCAACCCCTACTCTTGTTCAGGACAGCTTCTGATCTTGTATGACTTTATTTATATTAAAGCTGAGCTCCATCCTGATGTGGATCTGTGTTTCTACTTTTTCTTCTTCTGTTGCAATGGGCTAGTAGGATATTAGGAGATGTTGATGATACATTTATGTATGATTTTATGGCCATACATGAAGACACCGGAGAATAGTTAGCTCCTGCTTTCTGACAGCCCAGGTTCAAGTACTCCTTGGATATTCTGTTGTTTTTATTGCTGTGTCTAAGGACTCCTTCTTCAGACTGTCCTAGCCTGATGTAGCAACACTACATGCCACTATACAGGTCAGGTCATCTACCTCAGAGAAAGCTGTTTTCCAGAACACTCCAAAGCTTTCTTTTCATTGGGGTCACATTACTTATGGTCTAGCCCTTAAAAAAAAAAAAAAAAAAAAAAAAAAAAAAAATGAAAACTTTAAAAAAGGGAACAAACATGAATGTAATGTGGTCAGCTGTCTGGAGTATTCCTGGTAGGTCCTTGCCCATAGCTTCTGCTCTGAGGTATAATCAGGCCCATGATAAAGCTTTCTGAGTGTTTCATGGTCCTTTTAAATGGGGCTTAGGATATATCCAGAGAGGAAGCTCAGGGAACCTTATGCTATGGTAACACAGCAGTTTCAAAATCAATGTTTTTTCAGGGGGAAAGGAGAAACTGCCACTATGCATGTATCTTTTTGTCTGCAGCTGAATGGAGTAAAGCAGCTGCAGCACACTGTCCCAGGTTACTCTGCAGTACAAAAAACAGAGCACACACACACGATCAGTTATTTTGCTTCAGGCAAAGGGGGGAATTCAGATTCTAGCTGCAGACCAGTGGCTTTCTAAACCATACTGACTTGTCCATGTCCTAAATTGGAGATACACAGCACATCTGTCATATTTATTATTTCTCCCTCCCCCCTTATAAAACCAAACTGTTTTTCAGGCTGATTCCTATTTCCCCCTCCAAATCTTGGCTTCTACTTGCTGCCATAAACCACTGAAATGATTCTCAGGTACTGCAGGGCATGAAGGATGGGTCCCACTGCACTGCTGCTCAAAGAACAATGCATCACCTGTCTTAGCTGAGATACACTAGATTATAGCTTAGATACCCCTCTCCTCAGCATATATCTCTAGTGCTGCTGATAGCACTGCATCACACAGGCAAGATAATGTCCACTCATTTGTATCAACATGCTTTTGCCCTTGACCTTTTAGAAACACATATCACACCTTTTGCATGCCAAAATGTTAGGCAAATGAGGTGAGTATTGTGCTCCCAAAATCTTTCATCCACAGGGGTCATGGGTATAGAAGAGCTGCTGAGCATCTGAGCCAGGACAGAGTGAGGTACTAAACCATATCTAGTGTCAAAGAAACAATCAGCCCATGCATGAAGTGAATGTTTGCCTGATTTTAGAAAGGCAGATGCTATTTGCTGAATTGCTTCAACAGCATTAAGGGGTTGACAATTAACCAGAGTGGCTTAAGAAATCCAAAGAGAACAGAATGATGTCCTAAGGCCAAAAGTCTGTGTAGCTGCCATCTTCTGTAGGAAGAGTATCACAATTGCCTAACCTCTAGGTATAAACCTTACCTGGTTCCTGTCTAAGGGCTACACATCTTTGGTCCTTTGCGTTCAAGACAGGCAACCAGTCCTGGTTTCAGCTGGGAAAGAGCCCTGCAAGAAAACAGGTTTGGGGTGTACCAGGAGCTTGGAGGGAACACAGCTAGCACTGCTAACCCAGACTGACCAAAGGGATGTTCTATGCCATGCAGTGTCATGCTGAACAATAAAACTGGGGGAAGTCAGTCAGGGGGCCAGCATTGTTTGCGGACTGGCTGGGCATTGGTTGGCTGCTGGGAAGCGATTGCATTGTGCATCACTTGTTCTGGATTTTGTTATTTTTGTTCCTCTCTCCCCCCCTTTCTCTCTTTCTTTTTTTTTTTTTTTTTTTTTTTTTTTTCCTCTTCTTCTTTCTTATTAAACTGTCCTTACTTCATCCCACAAGTTCTTGTACTTTTTTTTTCAATTTTATCCCCCATGCCATTCTGGGCATGCATGGGAGGGTTGGTGAGCTAACAGCTGTGTGGTGTTTAGTTGTCTGCTGGGTTAAACCAAAACACCACCCAAAACTAATGCATGTGAATAATAATTGCCACATAAACTTATGATTAACCCTGGTGGACTGAAGAGAACCATACCACATTGATCTGTTACTGTGTTTTGTATAACAACCCTTATCTAGGAAAAGAAGGTAGCAATCTATCTAGGTTAGCTGGGCACAGCAAAATTGTTACTACCTACCTGCCAAAGCCCTTGAGAACCATGCTGGCTGCTGCTAGTGTCAATGGAGGTGAGGTCTTCAGGATGGCAGCTTCTGCTTCTGTACTTTACAGCGACCCAAGTTTCATCCCCTGATTGCCTCTACCTTGCTGGCAAGAGCAGCAAACATTAATTAATCAATTAAGCATGATATTCTATGCTCTCTCATTAGCTAGCTACCCTAATTCTGTCTCTTGCATTTTATTTTACCTTTCCTGCAGTAGTCTGGTCCCAACCTCTTAAGGGTGTTGGCAACAAAATTTAATGTTGTCTCCACTACTAAGAAGCTTTTAACTGGCTCCTTCCCTTGTGCAATGCTGCATCTTCCACAGACTAATTGCTTTAGATTAAATGTTTATCTTCAGTGGAGCAAAATATGAAGTCAGAGGGAGATAGTGTAACTGGTCCTAGCTGGTACAATCAGTAGGAGTGTAAACAGCTCAGATTTCCCTTCTTCTGGCCTTTTTTATACAGTTTTCCACAATTTCTGACTCTGGGAAGACTGACACAAGAACTAGACAAGCTCTTTTGCTGTGTTTCCAGCTCAGCTTTGGGAAAATAAATTGCTATTAAAAAAAAAAAAAAGTTTAACTACTGTATGCTGAAAACAATCAGTTTAGTCTTCCTCTAGGAAACAGTGTGTGCAGTGTAAGACCATAGGACTTGCTATGCCTCATCTGCCTTTAATGGATTTTTATATACTTAAAGATTTACAAAACCACTGAAGATGCTACTCCAGTATTTCATATGCCACTTAAAATTGATTACCTTACCAATATTAGGCTGCAAAAACTACTTTTTCTAAAACTTCCTAACATTCCCAATATCCCTATTAGCCCAGAGTGCTCACTGTAATCAGCTATTAAAGGTGTTCCTTTCCACATTCTTCCAATCCATCTCCTTCCTGCTTGCTTTTACTATTCAGTATTCCCAGCTGTTTTATATACATGGAAAACCCATTCTTAGTAATTAGGTAAAATTACTTACACCTGCTTAGTAACATACTGCATTTTTATTTGAAGTCAATGACAACATTTTCTCCAAGGACTTCATTTTAAATGAAAAATGAATTTAAGATGTTTTTCTCTCCTCCTCTTCCTGTTTCCTCCAAGTTCTATTTATTGCTTGTGACCTTTTAACAGTCACCCAACAATTATTTTTAAATATTAATCTTGGAACATGTCAAGTTGACAGGTCACCAGCTTTTTTGTGAGTGAAAGTCTGTTAAACTGAATTTAACACTGAACGTGGGTGGCACCCACTGTGGCAGTAGGCATGACACAATTACAGCTTTGCTGCTGTCCAGTAGGTACAGCTGTGTTGTTCAGCACTAACAGCACAGAAAATGATTCACACCCAAACTGGGCAAGCAAGATTAATGTAGGCACTGCATATACTTCCTGAGCACTAGACTTTTTTTGTGTGTGTTTGTGTGTTATAGCACTAGAGGTTGAAGGGTATTTAAACAATGTAATACCTGAAATTGCAGTTAACAAAAATTAAAAATCAAATAGTAATAAAATGAGTTTTCCAGATAAACCGTCTAGAATCAAACCATATACAGCCCATTAAGTATTTACATAAATTTAATAAGCACTAAATTTTTACTGCAAGTCATTGGAATTTCTATTAAATCCAGTGGCAGCTTGCAGAAGAATTATGCCCACATGGCTGCTTTTAAAATAGAATCTGAGCATCCTGTAATCTTTAATGAGTTTATTCCCACAACCACCTCTAGTAAGTCAGGAAGTATTTTTATCCCTATTTACTAGATGAGGTACTTTACAGAACAATCCCTTCATTTGCCAAAGGTCATATAAGTACCTGCATGACAAGACAGAAACTAAACTTGGCTTTCTCATATCCCAGTCTACAAACATAACCACTGGATTGGCCAGTGATTGATTTGAACCACACTTCAGCCACTCACTTTTAAACAGGCAAGACAGAATCTCTGCATTATGTCTCCATTGGACTTTATACAATAAATCTTCCAGTATGTTATGGAATAAATGTCATTACCAACAGTTTCCCTCTCTTCTTTCCTCTTCCCAGAACCCGTTACAGCTCTTTGTATTCTAAGACAGGAGAACAGGCAGGGAATACAGTACATGTTCAGTCCTGGGGAGAAAATGGACCTTTTTTCTGTGCTCAACATTGCATTTCCCACTGTATCTGCATCATAACTGACTGCTTCTGACATCATATATGCCACGACTTGGTACTCAGGTCATCAAAGATGACATGAAAAAGATGAACCCTTTATGGATCCTACCCTCTCTCCTAGCTTTCCTACATGCCACATTCATGCGCATTCCTGTTACTACTTTCATATGCATTTAAAAGATTTTAAATTTGTAAACTTCCTTTCCTTTCACGGCAACAATGAGTTCTTTTGTGCAGTGAAGGCGTCAAACCCTTTACTGAGGTACAGGTATATTACAGCCACAACACCTTCCACACCTATTAAAAAAAAAAAAAAAAAAAAAAAAAGTTCTGATTAAAAATATCAGAAAGATATCAGAAAGGTTTATCTGGTGCAATTTGCTCTTGAATAGCACATATTGCATTTTGTCCCCTTTTCCATTAATGTATGTCTCTTTTTATTCTTTCTTTCAAGGTTTGAACAGTCTATTTTGTATACTATTATACATGAATCAGCACACAATCTACTGACTAATTTACCCCAGCAAATGACAACCTGTGAGACCTCAGCAGCAGAGCAATTGCCAGGAGATGCCTTTCACAGCAGTCATAAGGCTATTCCAGGCTACAGTGGAAAGCCACCTTTTCAATAAAACTGGTAATGATTTTCTTGCAATGCCAGGCCAGCAAGATCTACTGAAAGGATATATATATTTATTTATTTGTTTCAGTGTTGCAAGGATCTGATTATCTGATCTTAACTGCAATCATTTTGGGACCTTGCAGAGGGCTTGTTCCATATTTCTGAAAGAGCGTGGGAAGTTGCTGTTGACTTCGGTGGAAAATGAGGAGCCGATTTACACCATCTGAGGAATCTACTTATAAATACATTTTTTGTACCTTTGTTTTTTACTGCTTAAATAGATTTGGTGTTTCTCTACAGAGGTGATAGGTACTCCAGAGACAAAGTACACATCATAAAAATTCAGTACCAAAAAAAAAAAAAAAATACAACCCTGTAATATAATCAGCAATAATGTCCTTAATTATTGTTAGTGAACCTTGAAGTTATAATAGGTTTTCTTTTGTTTTCTGCGTTCCCTTCAACAGTTTCAACATTCTCCTTCAGCAATTCTTTTCTGTGCAGTATCTAACAACAAATAATTTCACAAGTCTTCTTCTGGCTGTCAAAAAATAAAATTAAATAAATCCTGAGATGCTGTACCAAGAAACAGAGAAAAGTAAGGAGCCTGCAAATTTGTTTTTAAATATTGAAATTTAAATTTCCTAGACACAACCATGACTTGGAAATAGAAGCCAGGTTACTGACAGGTGATTGTGAGTGTTGAATTTGTTTTTATTTGTGCTTGAATTTGTTCATATTGGTTTGGGAATCCTTTGCTTAATGACTTTGTGATCTGAACTGGAATGTTGTATATTTAAAAGAAATGCAATAAAAACAATTTAGAACCTTTCCCCTGTGTTTGCATTCATTATTTCACACTCACGGGAGAGAATAAATTGTTAATATATATTTTTATGTATTTATATTTATTTCCATATATATGTACATGTGATTTTGTGTTAGAGTCAGTATTTGCTAAGCTAGAGGCAAAAAATTTCTCTAACAGGAGGAATCATTTTCTCAGAAACAGGATTCACTGAAATAAGATCAGGATGCTGCTGTATTCAAAAGATGCAACTATTGCCTATGTAATTTCTCTGCTTCTATTATCAGTCTATATCCATGGAAATGGATTCTTCTCTGTCCCATTGTTGGGTTTTATAGACATTAAAGTTGGGAGGGGAGAAGGGTCACCAATGTTTTCAGATTCTGTGTTAAAAATCAGATCTTATCCTATGTCTACTTCTTAATGATTAGTAGATCAAATGTCAATAAAAGGTCTTCTCTTATATTTCCTAGTATCTTGCAGTGAGCTTCAGGTGAAGTTTTCTCCGTGGTTGGGATTCTCACAGATCTTTCTCACATTTATTTTCTGGTTTCTAATAAGACTAAAAGTCATAGGCAGCATTACCTCAGCTGAAGATACTTTCTGATCTATTAGGTTTCATAATACTTGCAGGAATTTAATCTTAGAGACTTCTGCTGTTTGACCTTTTGTCTCATCTCATTGTAATTGATGAATTAATTACAAAATTATTAGGGAGGACGGTCAAGTAGTTGGGCACTTCATCTCTAAAGAGTGAATACATAAACCCTGCTTCATTAGGCAGCCAAGGTAAAAATACATTTTGGTTCACTGAAACAGTCTCATAGATTTATTTTCTTTACTACAAGACCTTAATTCACAACCCCGCTGTTGTTACCTGTTGAGCACTGCAGCTTAGACCAGTATATCATAGCTAGACACTGCACAGAACTGATTTGAAAAAGCAAGCAGTGTGATGCATTGTACAACTTGGAGTCAATATGTCACATGACAAATTACATATGAGTATTTTCACAGTATGTGAATAAGCAGAGAAATGCTTGTGGTAGCCCTTTATTTAGGATGTAGAAAGACAGAACAGTTAGAGCAAGTAGAGAAAGAAAGACAGAGAAAACCTGACAGCACAAAATGCAGAATAATTTAGTTTGGAATTGATTGCTGGAGGTCTGTAGACCAATTTCCTGATCCAAGCAGAGGTAACTATGAAGTTACCAGATGTACAACGCCTTATCCTGTCCAGTTTTGCAAGTGTCCAAGGGCAGAGAACTCAGTGTCTCTGGGCAGACTGATAAACAGGGCAAAACTGACAGATCTACCCATTTCCTGATGAAGCCCTAGTCGGCTCACCTGATATCCAGGGTCCATATTTTGTTATTTGTTTTCCTCATATCCATGAGGATCTGAAATGTTACTACCACTGCAATCACTGTACCTAAAGCTTCTATGGACATCATATCCCTGAACTATTCTGCCTTATTCGTGAGTATAATGAATAATATGTATAAAAATATTATTCATTTGCAATTTGCCCTGTTTTGCAATCCATGAAGAATGCTTATCTGTCTCCAGGAAGGCTATTTCATCTCTTAAAAATACCTGTCATACTCAAGTAGTCCTTTTAGAAAAAAGACAAAAAAAAATGCATTATGGGGCAGTTGTGCTCCAGTAGTGGATGTTGTCTTCATGATGGAAAGAGGCAAAGACTGTGCTTTTGGCCTGAAATACTTGGGAAAGAACTGTTCAAAATACAGCTTAAAGAGGGGTCACCTGTAAATAGACGCAATTGTTTCTAACTGATCCATGTCTTCTCCTTTGATTGAATAGGGAGTTGGAATATAGGGCAATTCACATTACTTAGAATTTTCTTTATGTATCTCACATTCTTCAGACTGTTATTAGGTCTCCATGAACCAGGAACTTTTTATAATACTAAGTAACTTAGCTGGGTACAAAAGACTTAAATACAGCTTCTGGCCCTTCTATTAGCTCTTATAATCTTGGTAGAAAATCACTGAGCCGCTGCACCTCAGGAAATAGAGATATGGGCACTTACTGGCTCAAACTGGGACAAAAGACGTATTTTATGCTTTAGTAAAATACCCAATAGACTGGGAAAGGCTCTTACCTCTTTATAATGGTAATGATTGCACACAATGCAATTAATGTTTTATGTTTTCCTATCCCTTGTAATGCCTGCAGCACCATATTGATTGTTTCTATTTCAAACAATAGAAACAGATAGCCGAGGCCAGCCCATGTGAGCTCAAATGAAAACAGCTGTTTAGCTCCAGTGATCTGAACTTATAGCACTG